TGCCCAGAATAATCCAAGCAAGCTACTCCAGAGAGCAGGCATTCTGCAGAACTGATCCTAAATATAGGTGTGCTCTGCACATCAACCCTGTGCTTAAAACAGGGCTTCTTGGCAAGACCTCTCCATCCCTGTGCTGCCACTGTGGTGAAAAATGGGACTTCCATCCCAATAATGCCTCTAAGTGCTCGTGTGAGGAGTGTGTTGTGATAACAGATGTCAAAGTCGGCTGCTGCTGTGGCTAACTTCCTCTGCAGGCATTTGTCTCCGTTTTTCCTGGGAAGCAGCACTTTAGGAGGAGCTTTTCCCTATGGCAGTGCTGTCAGATGGGCTGTACAGCTCCAGGAAAAGCAGTCGTACAAGGAAGCCTTGTGGTCACTTTTCAAAGTTATATTTTCAGCAAGGGAAGTTAAAAACCTCACAAAACAAGGCAGGAAGAGCTGATTTTCATCACTTTATCACTAAAAGGATGCTATCCTGACCTATGCAGGACAGTTCAGTTTGAACAATCAGACAATAGATGTAGGTAGAATAACCAGTGAGCCATACGGCCAAGCAGAGCGTGGAAGCACGGAGGGAACAAAGCCCTCTCACTTGCTTTGCTTTTCATCTAAGCCAGACAGGTTACTGCAGGCTGTTTCCTCAGCAGCATATGATCCTGTTGGAGTTATGGCTTTTAAGGACACCTCATGCGATGAGCATGGGGTCAAGAAACTCTGATTTGAATTCTAACCAAACAGGCAACTAAAGCCAATGGACCTCAGTTGGGATGCCCAGACCTGATGTTATCCCAATCCCAGACACGTACCTCTAAATGTACAGTAATACCCTGCCTTCCCCATCATGTACCCCCATCAACTCCAGTTCTCTCTGTCACAGAGATGGAGGCACAAAACCTCCTTTCCCCTTTCACCCAAGCGCATGCTGTTATCCCATATAATGCCAGTGGAAGCTGCAGTAATCTATAGCGGGATCTGGAACTTGAGTGTCTATTATTAATCATAAGACTCTAGGCTAAGTCCTCCACTGGAGTAACTTGGCGTTCTGCTCCTTCAGCTGAAGAGCTGGCCCTTTGAAACAAGGCAGGAGGTAACCATGGGAGAGAATATTGCATTACAGATGTTATAAAATCAGTGCCCTAAAAGTGCAAGGAAAACCCCTCTGCAGAATGCAGGCATGGTAAATGCTTAGCTCTTAGAAGTTCGTAAATGACTGAAGTACACTTGCAGCAGTGAAGTCATTCTTGGTATTGACAGTGATTAAACACGGGCCTGTTTAACTGCTCTCACAGCAAATAAATCCGGGGAAGTGGAAGCAGCAATGAGCTCCGTGATGAGCTGGAGGAATCTGCAGGAAATCCTTGTTCCCTGGTAAACTGGGTGCTTTAGGACTGTGTTGTCAGGGATTTAACAGCTTCAAATGCAACCCGAAGCATTTCTGCATGAGGGAAATGATGCCAATGTCTGGAAACGTTTGGTTTAAGGTCCTGAAATATGACCGCTGGCTCAATGGGAATGAGGAAAAGCGGGATGTGTTAGGAAAATGTTGTGGTGTTGAGGTCTTGAGGAGTTCAGTCTAGAATGGGAAGAAAATGGGCTGATACTGAGCTTCCAAAGCACGAGCATTGCCCATTAGGACCTTTGGATTTTAGGCTGTGGCGTGCTAGCAAAAAGTCTGGTGTAACTGCAGCAGTTGGGCTGCTACGTCCCCATCCCTCCTTTTATCCAAGTATCCCCAGATGACGGTAACTTGTGAATGAATATCACAGCCCATCGTTAACACACACACCCCAGAATCTGATGTTTCAGATCTTGAGGTCCTGAACAGATTACAAGAAGGAACAAAACGAGGAAATCTTTTTGAAAGCTCAGCCCCCAGCCCTGCTCATTCATGTGATGGCCAATCCTGCAGCATGCTGGGCCCTCCCGTGCACGCTGACCACCAGGAGGTTGTCTCCATTCTACTGTCTCTCTATAGCATTAAAATCACCCCAAAACCCCTTTTCTTCTACTCATCTGCTTCTAGAAGATGTTCAAGCTAATTCATTATCACTGGATAATGAATGTGGAAGCAGGGAGGCTGTTGTGCAACTCTGCCTTCTGTGTTTGCTTTCCCTTTTAACGCTAAGGAAGCTGCAGACCTCAGCCTCATCCTCCTGTAGTATTTCTTTAATGCAGACTTAGCAATAGTGTATAACCAAGATGAAAATCAATGCTGCTTCTTTCTGGCTCTGTGGGAGTGCCCGGTCCTTCCCTTCTGCTCCAAAGCCTGAGACAGCAGCTTGCTGCTTGCTCTGAAGCAGCGATGCTCGCGTGTTAAACTGCAAGGCAAGAAGTTCTCCGTAAGCAGAACCATTAGTCTGCACTCCAGATCCTCCTGAGTGGATATTGATAGGGAGGAGAAAGGCATTTGTTGCTCGTCAGAAATAAGGCCACATTTTAGGCTGATTTCCCTGACTCATTCTAACCTTCAGGTCACCTTCAGGGTAACGTAGCAGAAATAGCATCCACCTGCATCTGCTGAGAGCTCAGAAGTGAACACTGAAGGGATCTGGTTTGTGTTAAAACGATGTCTTTAATGTTAAAACGATATCTTTTATTCTTGAAGCATTTCTGTCCCTGCTTGTAAATGCTTCCCTGAGCACCAGCCTCTTCCCATCTAAATACCCTGATTCCTAAGGTGATCACTGTGTCATGAAAACGATTGTATTCTATAAGAGTTTGCATTGCTTAAATTTCAATGTGAAATAAAGAAGCCAAATGCTAGCACTGCTTGGCTATAAGGCAACCATTTCTTTTGCATACTGGGTAAATGGATTTTACACAAGCCATGCATCAGGGGATGTGATGGAAGGGAGTTCTATTACAAAGTTCAATATGCCCCTCCTCGCTGTTCAACACCCTCCCTTGTTTTCAGAAGATTAAAAGGATAATAAAAGCTCCCAAGCACCTCTGTTAACCACGTTTTCTTGTACAGGGAGCTTTCCAGATGTATAAAACCATGATCAGTGTTACTTAACAGGAGGAAAAACCAGTAATAAACCAGCTCATAATGTATCTTTTCCCCTAAAAGGAAACCAAATGCTGTGCCACAATAAGCTGTAATTTTGGTTTGACTTCCAGTTAAATCCAAGGGGATGCTTTTTGCTGATGGAGAAAACTTTTCACCGAATTAATGGCACAGATTTAGAATCCCTGATTGCTTCAATTATAATAAACCCTTTTCCCCATGTTTATCATCTAAAACTCGGGGGAGGTTCAACAGTGGATCCAACTGCTGCTGTTTGCAAACCCACTTCAGCCGATGCCTTGGGTAACTCTGACTTCCCCACTGACTGCAGTGCTGCAGTCCTATGACAGCATCATATTAATGAGCCAGCAGCAGAGGTACCGGGTCCATGTGGTTTGCAAAGTTTAACCCTGTCCCTCAGACTTCCCCAACTCCGTGCCATGAAGATGCAGCAGCAGCAAAGCCGGGAGCTGTGCGTGTCCCAGGCTCAAGGGAATTCTGCAGAAGGATTTTGCTCCTGAAAAGCCTCACAGGCAGAACCCCTTCAGCACCTTTCTGAGTGAGGAGTTAAAGCATCCCCCTCAGCATCCCCCTGCTTTGCCATGGGAGCTGCAGCAGGGCTCTTCCTAGCACCACTAGTTTGGGTTTTTTTTTCCCTTTCCTTATCTTTCTTCTTTGCAGCTTCCTAACCAACTGCCTGCAATCCACGCAGGAGGAGTTCAGAGTCTGGATGGTAGCTGCTCCCTACAATGCAACCCATGCAAAGTGCAGGGAGCCATAGAATCATAGCTATGGTTGGAAAGGACCCGTGTAACCGTGTAAACACCGTTTTGAACAAGGTTTCAGAGGAGGACAATTTATTCCTAAGCAATGCACCAAGCGCTAGGTTAAAATGGGGGGGGGGGGGGGGGGGGGGGGGGAGGCAGAGGGTGGGGGAAGAAAGAGAAGGGAAAAAGGAATCAGGATCCAGGATGCTGGGAAAAGGAATCAGGACCCAGGATGCTGGGAAAAGGAATCAGGACCCAGGATGCTGGATGCCGGGGCTGGGTTCAAACTCCTGGTACTGCAACGGCTGCACCCACCGCTCCCTGCAGCCCCTTCCTGCGCCGGCCTCCGCCCCGGCCGCACCGCAGGAGGGGACTTTGCGGGGAGCGAAGCGTTTGCGGAGCAGTCCCTGCCGCAGAGCACCCCCGGGCACCCATCCAGCCCCCCCCCCCGCCTGTGACCTTCAGAGGTCAGACCCCGCCGGGGTTTGTGTGTGTTGGGGGCCGCGGGGCTGCATCCCCGGGCCCCGCTGCTCGCTGCGCACCCCCGGCACTGCCCGGTGCAGGGCGGACCCCGGCGCGCCCCGCGGGAGCTCTCCGCGGTGCTGCAGCAGCCCCGGCCCCGCTCCCAGCCCCCGGTCCCCGGTCCCGGCCCCAGCACCGGCTCCGGCCCTACCCTGCGGGCTCCGCCGGCCGCCGCTCCACCGCCCCCGGCAGCGGCCCGGTACCGGCACCGCGTTCGGCTGCGGGAGGGAAAAGCGAGAGAAAAAGAGAGAAAAAGAGAGGAAGGAAACAAAAATAAAGCGATTAAAAGAAAGGAAGGAAAGAGGGTGATGGCCTAGGGAAGGGGGAGAAGGGAGAGGGGAAAAGAGGGAAGGAGCTTGGAAAGGGAGAGCGGGGGGGGGGGGAAGGAAGGAACGGAGGGAGCGGGGCAAGGGGGAAAGGGATGGGAAATAGGGAAAGAGCAGCGGTGGAAAGGGGGAACGGGAGAGGGGGAAGCGAGGGAAAGGGGGAATGGGGAAGGGGCATCGGGGGAAGGGGGGGCGCGCCAGGGGCTGGGGGCCGGGAAGGGGAAGCGGGAAGAGGGGAGGGCCGGGAAGAACCGGGGCAGGGGCGCGGGCGGGGAGGTGGGTCCGGGAGGCGGGCTCGGGGCGGGCGGTTTCCGCCCCCCCCGCACACGTGTCGGGCCGCCCCGCACCCGCTCGGCGGGGCTATATAAGGGGCAGCGGCGGCCCAAGTATCGCCGCGCCGCCGCCCCCGAGTGCCCCACCATGAGCTACACCATGGAGCCCCTGGGCAACCCCTCGTACCGCCGGGTGACCGAGACCCGGGCCACCTACAGCCGCGCCAGCGCCTCCCCGTCCAGCGGCTTCCGCTCGCAGTCGTGGTCCCGGGGCTCGGGCAGCACCGTGTCCTCCTCCTACAAGCGCCCCAACCTGGGGGTCCCGCGGGCTGTCTACGGCTCCACGGTGCTGAGCTCAGCCGAGAGCCTGGACGTGAGCCAGTCCTCGCTGCTGAACGGCGCGGCGGAGCTGAAGCTGAGCCGTTCTAACGAGAAGGAGCAGCTGCAGGGGCTCAACGACCGCTTCGCCGGGTACATCGAGAAAGTGCATTACCTGGAGCAGCAGAACAAGGAGATAGAGGCGGAGCTGGCGGCGCTGCGGCAGAAGCACGCCGGGCGGGCGCAGCTGAGCGATGCTTACGAGCAGGAGCTGCGGGAGCTGCGCGGGGCCCTGGAGCAGGTGAGCCACGAGAAAGCGCAGATCCAGCTGGACTCGGAGCACATCGAGGAGGACATCCAGCGCCTGCGGGAGCGCTTCGAGGATGAGGCGCGGCTGCGCGACGAGACGGAGGCCACCATCCGCGCCCTGCGCAAGGAGATGGAGGAGGCCTCTCTGATGCGGGCGGAGCTGGACAAGAAGGTGCAGTCGCTGCAGGACGAGGTGGCCTTTCTGCGGGGTAACCACGAGGAGGAGGTGGCCGAGCTGCTGGCGCAGCTGCAGGCGTCCCATGCCACGGTGGAGAGGAAGGACTACCTGAAGACCGACCTCACCACGGCGCTGAAGGAGATCCGCGCCCAGCTGGAGTGCCAGTCCGACCACAACATGCACCAGGCCGAGGAGTGGTTCAAGTGCCGCTACGCCAAGCTGACGGAGGCGGCCGAGCAGAACAAGGAGGCGATCCGCTCCGCCAAGGAGGAGATCGCCGAGTACCGCCGGCAGCTCCAGTCCAAGAGCATCGAGCTGGAGTCCGTGCGCGGCACCAAGGAGTCGCTGGAGCGGCAGCTCAGCGACATCGAGGAGCGTCACAACAACGACCTCACCACCTACCAGGTACCGGGGTGGGGGGAGCCCCGTTCGGGCGGTGGCAGGGGCGGGGTGCCTGATGCCGGTCCTCCTGGGGGGGGGGGCACCCCGAGGGTTGAAGCCCCGGCTTGGCCGCAGGGGAGGGAGGTGGGAGCCGGGTGGGTTCTGCTCCGATCCCAGCAGCACCTCTCAAAGATGCAGAAGGAGTTTCTGGAAGTCTGCTGGGAACTTTTGCAGTGGTTGTGCATGAGGTTTATGCCTGTGTCAAAGAGGGTTTCTGTGCTTTCCGTTGCAGGACACGATCCATCAGCTGGAGAATGAGCTTAGAGGAACAAAGTGGGAAATGGCACGTCACTTGAGGGAATACCAGGACCTCCTCAATGTCAAGATGGCTCTGGACATCGAAATTGCTGCATACAGGTACAGTAGGATCATTGCGGACGTGTCTGGAATATTAATAGCACTGCAGATGCTGCTGCTGTGGGGAGCCTTGCCACGGAGGAGAAGTGTCTGCATGCAGTGAAATTGGAGCTTGGCTAAATTACAATCACTCCAAAATCTCTGCAGCCCCAAGGAGTGGTTGCAGGAGGAGCCCTGAGTTCCTTAGGGACCAGCTCCCTGCCAGTGCTCCCTGTGAGCTCAGTGGGCACAGGACGCTGTGACTCAGTGCAGTGGCACCGTGTGCCGCAGTCTGTCCTTGGTTACCGGAGCAGAAGATGCAGCAAAAGACAAGCTTGGTTTTAATCCCCGTTTGCTTTGCATATGCCAAGCAAGTGGCGCTTGTCACCTCAGCTCCCTTTTCTTGCTGGGGAGAGACATCACACTCGCTTGATCACGGTTTCTAGCAGGGAGTTCTTGTCCTGTCTGTCACAAGCACTTTTGCTTTTCTTCCTCAACTTTCCTTTAAAGGCACCCCCTCTCATCTGGAGCAGGAACGTTGCTTGCTATTGCCATCACCTGGCAGGCTGTTTTAGTTTCCTTTGCATTCCTTTAGAACTCTCATCAGAGAGCTGCTGTGTTTTCTGGGTCACAGACTTAGATGAGAAACATGCATTTGAATATCAGAAAAGTAAAAACAAAAAAACCCCACCTCCAGCTCTGCTTACACTCCTCAGCTTGTGCAGCCACACAGGCACCCCAGGCTCTACAGCTGTTTGCTGCCCATGTTAGCTGAACAAAAACCTGTTCAGCTTCCACAGGTGCACAAGAAAGATGGATGCCCAAACTATTGAACTAGGGCATATCACAGACCTGTCTGGGTTGAAAGGGATCTTAAAGCTCATCCAGTTCTAACTCTTCCACTAGAGCAGGTCCAGGCTGACCTTGAACATGCTCTAATAGGCTCTGGATGTCTCAGCCACATCTGGGTCTATTGGGCTGGGCCAAATTCTGTTTGCTGAAGTCCTAATGCATCCAATGCAGTTAATTCCTTTGCCATACTCTTCACTGACTTATGCCCCAATGAAGCTTTTGACCTTCGATGTGTTTCAACGCATCAGCTGAAGGTGTTACACTCGCCACATGCAAACCAAGCTAAAAGCTTTTTGCTGAATATGAATTTTGCAAAAGAGCAGATTCAAGGAAAGCTGAACTGGGGCTGTAAGGGATGGATTATGCTGATCAGCTCTAGCATATTCCATATACAAGCTGGTTCCATCCTGCTGATAAGGAAACAATTAATACCTGTCCCTTACATTTGATTTCTGTGCTCATTTTTTTTTCCTCCTGATTCCCTTAGGAAGCTACTGGAGGGTGAAGAGACAAGATTCAGTGCCTTCTCTGGAAGTATTACTGGGCCCATATTCACACACAGGCAACCATCAGTCACAATAGCATCCACTAAGATTCAGAAAACAAAGATCGAACCACCAAAGCTGAAAGTCCAGCACAAGTTTGTAGAAGAAATCATCGAGGAGACAAAGGTAGAAGATGAAAAGTCTGAAATGGAAGATGCCCTAGCAGCTATTGCGGAAGAAATGGCAGTCAAAGCCCAGGAGGAAGAAAAAGCAGAAGAAGCAGCTGCAGAGGAGGAAGAGAAGGCTGCTGCAGAACAAGCTGCTGAGGAAGAAGAGAAGGAGGAAGAAGAAGCCGAGGAGGAGGAAGAAGCTGCAAAATCCGATGCAGCAGAAGAAGGAGGTTCTGAAAAGGAAGAAATAGAGGAAAAAGAAGAAGGGGAGGAGGCTGAGGAAGAGGAGGAGGAAGCCGAGGCCAAGGGCAAAGCTGAAGAGGTAGCAGCAAAGGTAGAGAAGGTCAAATCACCCCCTGCAAAATCCCCCCCTAAATCTCCTGTAGCCGAGCCGGCCAAGGCTGCCCAGAAAGAACCAGCCGCAGAGGCAGGCAAAGAACAGAAGGTGGAGAAAGGCGCTGAGAAACCGGCCAAGGAGGAGGAGAAAGCGGCGTCTCCAGAGAAGCCAGCAACACCAAAGGTCGCCTCCCCAGACAAGGCAGCGACCCCGGAGAAGGCTCTGACCCCGGAGAAAGCAGTGGCCCCAGAGAAGCTCCGCTCCCCGGAGAAGCCGGTGACACCAGAGAAGCCGGTGACACCAGAGAAGCTCCGCTCCCCGGAGAAGCCGGTGACACCGGAGAAGCTCCGCTCCCCGGAGAAGCCGGTGACACCAGAGAAGCCGGTGACACCGGAGAAGCCCCGCTCCCCAGAGAAACCAGCACCTCCGGAGAAGCCCCGTTCCCCAGAGAAGCCGCCGTCCCCGGTCAAAGATGGGAAGGCTGTGGTGGAGGAGACGGTCACGGTCACGAAGGTAACCAAGATCAGTGCAGAGGTAGAGAAGGGGTCGAGGAAAGAAGACATCGCAGTGAATGGGGAGGTGGAGGAGAAGAAGGAAGAGGAGGAATCCAAAGAGAAGGAGGTTGAGGAGGAGGACAAGGGAGTTGTCACTAACGGCCTAGATGTGAGCCCAATTGATGACAAGGGTGAGAAAATAGTAGTAACCAAAAAAGCAGAGAAGATCACTGGTGAAGGCGGGGACAGTACGACCACATACATCACCAAGTCGGTGACCGTCACCCAGAAGGTAGAGGAACACGAAGAGAGCTTTGAGGAGAAATTAGTGTCCACCAAGAAAGTGGAGAAAGTCACTTCACACGCTGTAGTAAAAGAGATTAAAGAGGCCGAATAAAACAAATCATAGCTAAGTTAAAACTCGAGCTTGGGTCGGTGCAAAAGGTTAAGCCATATGACAGCTGCAAAATGCATGTGGGTGACGGCTTCAAAGCAGAACGGGTTCTCTCATGGAGGCTCCAGACACACAGTATCTTTCTTTTTTGTGCAATATAAAGGGGAAGGGGGGGGGAATGCATGCAGGCTCAAGATGTGCTCCCTCCACAGAGCTTGGGGCTCTACAAAACATAACTACTATAATAGTGCATGAGATGAAATGTGCAGAGGAAGCTTTTGAATCTCCTGAGCTGTTGGAGGGACGTATCTGAGGGATGACTTAAGATGTATTATGCAAAGAACCAACTGAGCCAAAAAGACAAACAGAAACCAGTCATAGAATATTCATGAGAACCAGAACTCTCCTAGCCTTAAAAGAATAAAAGCTACTTATAAAGAATTATGTTTACCTCACTGGTGCAATTTAGGGTGGACTTTTGCTCATGGGAGAACCTAGTTGACATGCACAGTACGCAACCTTTTGTTGTTTGATGTAAAAGTCACAGCAGTTCTTGCTCAATAAAGGTCAATACTGAAAACAAGACTTCTCTGGTGATTTTTCTTTCCAGCTCAGATCCTTCCCTAAAGCCTGCTCCTCTGTCCTGAACAGGAGCACACGTGTATGGGTTGATAAGCTGCTTGGTGTCCTCATTTAGGAAACAAGCTTGAATTGGGTATGATGAACAGATTTCATGTCATAAAACACAAATAATTGAGTGGGTTTAAGCAAATAGGTAAGAACCATATCCCATCTTTTCTAAAGCAGAATCTATTAAACTCTCCTGCCTTGCCTTGAGGTGCTTAAGGGGGCTGCAATTCCTTTTGCTAGCAATGGAAAGCTCCCTGAGCCACGTGCTTCTTGCATTGCTTATCTGAGCAATCCTGCCTGTACTAAGGGTAAAGTGTTATATTCTACTGCAAGCATAGCTTTCCTCCCTGCACCATAGCCTCAATGTGCAAGGAGAGCCTTAAGGATGTGATTTCAGGACTATTCCTTGACTTTTCATGTGAGGAATGCCTGTCCCAGCTGTTTGTCACTTAAGTGTGCAAAGACCCATTAAGTCAACCAAGACACTGTGTGTTCATCAAAATGGGGTGGCTTCTGGTTATTTTTCCCCTCCTGCCTTAATTATATGGGAACATCCTTATCAGTTCTGTCCCCAGTGATCCGTAGGTGCAATCTGCTTCTAAACACAGAATTCCAAAATTGAGAGCAAGCAGATTCCTGGAAAAAGGAAACTGTCGTTTACTGGGATCATGGCTCAAAACATCCTGAACTCGTATTTTACATATCTGTCCATTTGAAAATGGCTGTAGAAATGAGAACCTTTCAGAGCCTGCACTGAGGCTGGTCGGGCTCAGATTATAGCTGGTGTGACTGACAGATAAAACCAAATCAAAGCATTCCTGAATTTCCAATAGAAAGGAATCTTTGGCCTTTGTCTACTGCCACTTCCCAGTTGGCTTTATGAAGAAGAAAGCCCATTAAAGGGCCTTCTAAAATCCCACTATATGGAAAATAAACGGAGACAAATGAAACAAAGGGAAAAAGAGGAGGGCTCCGACCCCAATTTGGGGAGCTAATATATCTTATTACAGGATTAATACTGTGATTAGTTTTATCGTGTTTCAAAAGGAAAATGAAGAACACAGCTACTGCCTTAGCTCCCACAAGCAGCAAAGGAATGCAAATCCCTTCTAAGCCTGCTCACTACATGGACTGCCCTGAAATCTGCTGACTAATTGAGGGTCTGATCAAACTCTGTGATTTGCTTATGCCTTCCAATGCTCTCCCCTATCAATAAGTGAAGATCAAGCAGTGTTTAATTGGAAGGGTTCTGCATGTTCTTCACTGGTGTAGGAAAGGCCACAGCAGAGAAACCTCTCAAATAAAGCTGAACGTCTTTGTGCAGCAAAGTAATGACTGCTTCTCCTGCTGATATCAATAATGGAAATCTGTGCTCAACAGCTTGCTGCTTGAGGAATGTTTAATTAGAGCGGAGTTAGCAAATTAAATGGCAGCTCCTCTGTAGAGAGCTTGCTTGTGAAAGTTACATGTGTATGTGACAGCAAGTAGCTGTATCTTTAGGACTAAGAGGCGGCCCAGCCGCAGTCACCTATTGTCAGGAAGTGGTTGCAGCAAGTTATGTTAAAATACAGACATGCCCGATGGCTTGTGAGCATTGCAGCTCTTTGTCTCTTGGGTCTAATCAAAGTTTTCAGGAGACCACCACCACTAAACCCCAAAACTAAACCAGAGACCAATATTTAACAGAAAACCCTCTATTTATGTGCTTCCACGTAAGTTCTATAAGCTGCTAAAATGTCACAAACCGCCGAGCCAGGGGGTGAGCACAGAAAGTCAGGTACCATCAGCATCAAGAAGGGTCACCTTGTATGGTGTCAGATCAAGTGCACTGTTAATGTGGGCTTACATGGGTGCAGGTGTGATCCCAGACTGGGTTGTTGTTTTTCACCCTATTCCTTTTAGTCCTGGTAGGATACAGCCACAAGGATCTAGAGATCATTCTTTGTGTTGTTTCAATCCTCCTTGCACACAGGCAGCCCAACAGGGCCTCAGTTTCCCATACAAGGCAGCTGTATCCACACTTCTATCCAGGGCACATCAACTGTCCTGACTGGTTCTGGGAATTCACTGCATAGCCTACGTGGAAGGCAAATTCCAGGCTGCCCAATGGCATGGGGTGTTTCAAAATATCTTAATTTCCCCTGTTTTTCCACCCAAAACACATCACAGCCTTTAGTTATTACCCACAACTGCAGGATTTTGTCTCTGCTTTGATACACAAATCTGTGAGTTTAGCCTATTCCCACTGCAAATGTTTCCATCAAATCCTAAGAGAAATAAGCAAGTGGTTAATGCATTCCTAAATATTTATAAACCTATAAGAACCCATTAATATTTAGTGTTGCCAAGAGGTTTTGTCTACTGACATCTGCAGTCAAACAGTTTCAGAAGACAGCATAATTCCAGGGCAGAGATGCATAAATAGTATGTTATTTGCCTGTTCTGCACCAATTATTTCTGCAGACTCTGCAGAACCAGTGAAGGGATTAATTACTTACAGACACAAAAGTTCATGAATCAATATGAAAAAGATTCCTTGAAGGGAAAAACAATAATTAAAGGAAGTGACTATGAGGATTTATGAGCCGTATTCCGGGCGAGCTGCCGAGACCCCTGTGACTTCGGGAGGTGGAGGGCTCTAGAACAGGATCTTTTTACCATACTGGCTTGTGGAGGCGCTACCATTCAGATATTTTCAGCATCCCAGAATGAAATTCCAATTGGAAACAAAGTTGGAAGTGTTACAAAACACAAATAGGTTGCGTTTGCCAGGGAGCTGAGTCAGACACTAGAATCTTCTCCCGGCATCAGTCTGTGCTTTCCCCATTCCCATGTGGGCTTTCTTCCTTCTCTGTTCAGGATTAAACTACCCTTAGCTACCCCAGGAAGGCAGCAGATGATGAACTGTCAATTGCTGAGTTATCAGAAGGTACATTCCTAGAATCTGGGCATTGCACCTGTACAAGTTTTCCTCTTGCCGAGTGGAACAGGAGCGTGTGGATGTGCATCTTAAGAAAAGCATTCAGGACCTCCTTCTATTTGTCTTCCCTGTGATGTGCTCTCGGCATTATCCAGACCCCATGTGCCCAAACAGCAGGAGAAAATTCAGAGACAGACCCATGGCTTTATGTGCAGCTGCAACTTGGGTTAAAGTTTCTATCCTGCCTCCCTCTGCCTGCTTTTACTGCATTGCGTCAAAGCGAGCGCCTGGATTTTCTGAGGTTAAACAAGTGTTGCCAGTAGGATCCCCACAACCCTCCAAGCATCTCGGCTCCCATATCCATCCTCCCTCCCACCACTTTACCTTAGCAGCAAGGTAGGAGCAGGGTGGCAGACCAGGCTGGATGGTCACTGCAGCTTGTCACTCGCTGCAGCTCATTGCTGTGACTCACACGTTTCCTGCAGAGCTGTGAAATCTCTCCTTTAGCTGCAATACATTAAAAATAACATCAGGAGTGGGGATGGGGCTGAGAAATGCTGCAAGAAGTGTGTTTGCTGGGGTAACTCTGGTTTGAGAGCATCTCGGCTGCAACACTTTGGAGAGCTGCAGGCTTTCACAGGAGCGAAAGGGATAAAAGGACTGAATGAAGAGGAGGAAAGTCATGAGAGGAAGCAAGAACAGGGATTGAGGAGTTAAAAGGTGCTCAGAGGGCTTGGAGAAAGGCAGGATAAGGAAGTGGTGTTGATATAAGCCAATCTCTGTAAGAGTGGCTTGGCTTTAATGGCTGTGTGAGTTCTGACCTGGCGCATCACAGAGTTTCTGCTCTGCAGAAGCAGCACTTCTCCCCAACTGAAATGCCACACTAAGCATTTTCTGATAGGCACTTAGGTGAAATTCCAAGTACCATCTCTTAGACTTAATGTTCTGCTGTCTGAGCCAAAGGCATCATACACTACAAGAAGTAGCTCTCCTGCAAGCCCCTCAATAGCTTTTAAAAGCACTGAGCAAACAGTGTGGTCAAGCCTCTGCCCCATGGTGCTGCAAGCACCCACACCACCTTCCTGGAGATAGGAAATCTGCTTTGTAAGAGTAAGTCTGCATAAACCGATGTAGAAACATCTCCATTAAAAGCAGAAGGGAAACATGAAAAGAAAGACTTAAAATGATGTTGAAGAAAGGGAAAACCAATTTAAATGTTTGTCTCCCGGTTCTCGAAAAGCATCAAACTCCCCAAGAAAGTGTGTGGGGGGAAATAAAGCATCTGGAAATGACACTGGAACTCTCTCAACAGGAGTTAGTGGGTTTATTACATATACATACAAGTTCTGTTTCCTGAATTGTTTTACCAAAGCTTTTCTCTCTCCTGCTGGGAACGTGGAAGGAAAGAATTGATTTAAGTTCTTACCTCATCCATCATAATCTTCTTTGGAACTCTTTGAACTCGAAGGAGATGCTTTTGGAACACCCCTGAAATTTGTATAGACGCTTCCTTCTTCTTTGAACATAACCATTGAGGACCAATGCAAATTAGCCAATGCCACAGTCAGTGCACAGAACTAAAAGGTACCCAAACACCTATGCAAAAATCCATCCGACTGCAAGAAAATTGAGTGCACCCGTGTAACACCTGTTCTAACATGGCCTTCCATGGGTTGAGCTTATTTAAAAGTTTAATTTGCAGCCTTAGTCTCATACTTGCCCTTAGCACCAGGCTTAATTTCAAGCAACTTCAGCTAATTGAAAATAAATGGGCTCATGCTGCAGGATGTGGCTTCAGAATTGCCAGGCTTTGCTGCTGTTTGAGCTGCTCCTATTTTGTGCCCAAATTACACCAGAAAATTAGAATCTTCAGTCCATAGTGCATTAACTTGGGGTAGCACCTAGGAAAGGAAGCTCATTCAAGCAGCACAGGGAACTCCCCCCCCCCAGTTTGTTCCCTCAACACTTCACTGCAGCCCTTTTTTATCCTTAGGCATTGCCCCACCTCTCAACTACATCCTCAATCATTCT